CAATGCAGAGGAAGAGAACAGGATGCAAAAAGAAAGGGACATAGAAATTGTAGAAACTCCAAAACACTTAAAAGTCTTCCAAATTAAAAAATAGCTAACACAAATGTTCCAAAATGCTATGAATGGACTGCACATATTCATGAATTAGTGGTTCATATAATTAAAATAGAAATTTTTAAAAATAATTTAATTATCTCAATATCGCCAGGTCAGTTTGACCAAAACAATAGGAGTAGGGTATGGGATGCAGGCCAATTGCAGTATTTCATTGTGTGTGTGTTTGTGTGAGTGTTTGCCTCTCAAGTCCTGGTCTTTGTAAGGTTTTCAATGATGAAAAAGAAAACATCAGTGATGTGTATTTCCTTCTTATCAGGACCTATCTCTATCATTTTCTATATCACACTGCACAATGTTCATTTCAGACAAATGAGTTGAAGTCACATGCATTGTTTGAGAGTACCTCTGAGAGGAAGGAGAAAGTAGAAACAGTATTCTAACAGTCCATGAAACAAACTGCTGGATTTTTACTGTTGATTCTCATTCCTCTACTGTGCTGGAGAATTAAGGTCTTTTTCTACTTTCCCTCTATGAAAATATTAGCAAGGATTTTTTTTTAGACATAAAGAGACCTACTGCGATCATTTAAATGATGTCCTTCTACCTCCAAGGAAAGATATACTGAAAACTAAAATAAAATTACTACTTTTCCGAAATATTTTAAAAGGGAAGATATTTCCCTATCTCTTCCAATTTGGCAGTTTGTTCTAATTTCCATTTATCTATCTACTACAATATTTCACTATCAGAGGATCTGATTTTCCTGACATTTTAGTATTGAGGAGCAGGATGAGATCTGCCCATTTAGAATTTTACATTTTGAGCCAACTTTAAGACACTGTAAAAGGAAAATGGCATGTTAGTTTCTTCTGTCTACAGGTCATCTTTAGCATTTTTAAAGCTAGAGAAAACCTTAGAATCTGACTTCTTTTTTTTTTGGTACTGGGGATCGAACTCGGATCCTTGTGTTTGTGCAGCAGGCGGCGAAACCACTGAGCTAAATCCCCAGCCCCTGACTGCTTTTTTTAAAATAGACTACACCACTAGAAAATACTTAAGGTAGAGTCACAACTGAAATTTAGATTTTTTTCTCTGTTGGGAATCCAGGGCCTTCAACATGTTCAATTCTTATATCAGAACACATTTCCTTACACCTTTTGACCTATCCCTTACATACCCAACTAAAGGGGTTATTTGGAGTTTTTTCTCCTATCCCAATTAGTTTTTAACAATAAAATAAATTTCCACTAGCCTAATATTAGTTCCATGGGCTTTTGCTTAGAGTTAGAAAAAATGTCTCTGTCCTCTACACACTGTAAAAATAGATGGCAATGTTTTGCTCATCTTATAGGCTGATAAGAACAACTGAACATCAAACTCACTTCACTGAAATGCCTAACTCAAGCATTTAGAAAGTTTCTGCTTCAGGTCTGGTTTTATTTCATTTTGGAACAGTAACATGGAAATCTTTCCTATCTTTAAGGCCTTAAATATTTATTTCTGTGGGGAGACTTGGGCTCATTAAAAAAAATGGGAGATTGCATGAGATTTTTTTTTCTCAATATTTCATTAACTGTATTCTTTTTATGGGGGGATACGGGGATTTGAACTCAGGACCTTGTGCTTGCAAGGCAGGTGTGGCACCACTGAGCTAAACCCCTGACCCCCTAATTAACTGTATTCTTGACTGAGGCCCTTTGACTGTCATTCTTTCCTAGGAAACTAATTTTCCCCTCTCCTTCAATTGTGTCAAATTATCTACAAGATCTCATTTGCTTCCTAAGGAACAGCAAATGTCTTCCTATCTGTGTCATAAAAGGGACATTTTCAATAGCAAGAACACATCCTTGAAAACCACAGACTTGTAAAATTCTTGAAATTTTAAAGTGGGGGAGCTGAGTGTGATGGCACATGCCTGTAATCGCAGCATTCAGGAGGCTGAGGCAGGAGGATCACCATGAGTTCGAGGCCAGCCTGGGCTACATAGTGAGTTCAAGGCCAGCCTGAACTACATAGCAAGACACTATCTCAAAAATACAAAACAAACAAACAAAAATAAAGTGGGGAGGATTGAAAAATTAAGCTTATTAAGTCAGCTTATGTTTGTCAGAAAAGAAAACCCTCAAAATCTCTTTAGGAACAGAATGGCAAGATATTCTTTATGATACCAAGGGTCTTAAGTTGAATAGTATTTCTAGAAATGTGCCCTAACCAATTAGTTTTGGATATGAGTAAACACTTGGTATAGTAATATTCATTATAGCATTGTTTGTTTGTGCTAGCAAAAGTCTGGAAACAATCCGACTACTCAATTGGGATTGCTTAACTATTATCCCATCAATATAATACAAATTTAATATACAGATGTTAAAAATATTTTAAAAGATTAGTTATATGTAAACACATCTCCAACAAATTATTAAGTAAAAAAAAAAAGATTTCTGAATAGTACATGCACTATGACTTGCTCATTTTAAGAAATAAATTATAGTCACAAATATACTGACAGATGTACTATCCTGGAAAATGATAACCCAAAGCGAAGGTTCAGAAGCAACATTTCTCTCTGACCTTTACCTGCCCACCTATGTTTTGCCCCTTGTTCTCCTCTGAAGCAAGTCACAGAAACTAGACCTCCTCTTCCCCAGGGTGAGTTGTAGAAACAAGAACCCCTTGCCTCCAAAGCCAGCCATAAAAACTAGAATTATTACTCTCACCTTGCCCCACCTTCCCAACGAGGAGCTGGCCAGAAAGAACTTCTCTGACTTTGATAGTAGGTCCTAAGACCCCCATTCCAGACAGAGTCCTACCCCATACCTGGGAGGAAGAAATGCTACATCTGAGGGACTAAGAAGAATCTGTAAAGACAGGCCTTCTGAGTTTCCCACTCAGTCTGCTCCCGTTAGTCCATACCCTCTCTGTCCAATCTCATCTCTAACATGGTTACCCCTGCTTCATCAGACATAAGCACAAAATCAGACAGCTTCCTCTGAATCTTTTGGGACATAACCGGAAAGTTTCTGTGTCACATAAAACTATGATCAAATACATGTTAGAGCTTTCTCCTGTGAATCTCATCTTATGCCAGTTTCTTTTAGAAGACTAAAATATCAAATCTTGAGGGAGAATTTCAATTTTGCAACAATGTATACTCATGTATATACATTTATACAAAGAAAAAGATAGGATAGGTACATAGCAAAATGTTACTTTTGGTAATTATCTTTAAGATAGTTTTGTTTTCTGTTATCCCCCCCCCCAAATGTCACTTTTATAAGGAAAAAGAACAGCAAAGATTATGTGTGATTTTTTTTCGAGACAGGGTCTCACTATATAGGTCAGGCTGGCCTTGAACTATGTATCCCAGGCTGGCCTTGAACTTGCAGCAATCCTCCTGCCCTGGCCCTCTGAGTGCTGGGATTATAGGTGTGCACCACCATGCCTAGCTATATTATGGCTTTTTTTTTTTTTTGGTTTTTTAAGAAAAAGGTCTCATTCTGTAGTCCAGGCTGGTTTTGAACTCGCAGCAATCCTCTTGCCTCAGCCTATAGATGTGTGCCACCAAACCCAGCTATGACTTTTAAAAGATCATTGGGTAGTAAATATATGGAAGTTATAGATCTTTAGAATCAGAAACCACATGAGTCAAAAGAATAATAAGTTCAAAGAATGAAATTAGTTGAAATAAATTATAGTTAATGACTCCCTTAAAAGTAAGAAATGCCTGCAAAATGTCTCAAATGTATTTGAAATTGCTATCATAGGTGCAACAATCCACTTTAACAAAAGCCAATGAACAATGCAGAGGGACAGAACAGAGACTGAGAAACGAAAGGGGCCTAGAAATTATCGTCAGAGCTGAGCATGGTGTACATACCTGTAATTTCGGCACTTGGGAGGCTGAGGCAGAAGGATAGAGAGTTTGAGAACAGCCTGGGATACATAACAAGCATAATGAGACCCCCATCTCAAAAAATAAGAACAAATCCCAGAAATTACTGTTTTTGGAAAAGAGTGGAAAACAGGTGGAATGAATTATCACTCTGACCCCACAGTTCCCTTTTTTTTTTTTTTTTTTTTTTTCCTTTTTTTTTTTTTTTTTGGTACCGGGGATCGAACTCTGGTCCTTGTGCTTGCGCCGCAGGAGGCAAAAGCACTGAGCTAAATCCCTGGCCCTTGACCATTTATTTTCTAATAGTTACTTCTACATTGTTTGGGTTAATATTTGTTTTCAATATATCCAAGATACAAGTCTTCGGGGGGGTTTTTGGGGGGGGGGGGGCTATAACAACTTTTATTACGTGCAGTTCTTTGTTTTTGGTTTTTTACTGATGTCAACTTTTCCTGTTGCTTTTATCACTAAAATCTTTTATGAAGCAAGTGGTTGTTACGGTTTTTCTTTGAAGACCAAATGAAAAGTGTGCAGAGAACGCCAAGATATGACGTCTAGGCAATCCCTGCTTTTCCCATGTCATAAAAAAGGAGGGTTTTTGACACTCTGTAGAGACTAGAATTCTAACCACTAGTAATCGGCGAGGATCTGCTAAAACCAAGGTCCCTTCCTTTCAACCCAGCTCGCCCAGGGCTGCTTTTCTCTGCCTCTCCACGAGAGGCGACAACCTCTTTCCAAACAGAAACTGGCTGGAGCAGGCCGGCCCAGGGGAGTGGCCCAGAGAAAGATCAAAGGTTAAAAATCTTCTCAAAGACTAAAGGTCAGTACCCAATTCCGAAGCAGACCTGAAGAATCTGTCTACCGCAAAAAAAATGAAGGTGATCCCTGCCTAACGTGATCTCCAAGCCCCAAGCCACTCAGCCTTTACAGAGACCGGGTAGGACCCAAGAGACTAATAGGCAGCAAGAATGTAACAGTCAAGGACCGGAAGTGGAAGAGAGCCCGGGGCGGGGGTGAGACTAGGCCACACCACGCCTGCGCAGTCAGCAGGTGTTGCAGCGCGTGCGCAGCTGGGCGGTGACGGAGTGACGCTCGGAGTTTAGGCCGCCACTCTCACGGGTCCGGTTCCGCCCTCTTTCTCGCTGCCGACCCTTCGGGGCTAGCGCTCGCGATCCCTTTCCCAGAGTGCCCTGCGCTGTGAAGAAGCGACTCCCGGGGACTGGGGGCATTTTGTGTTAGTTAGAGCCGGAGTAACAAGATGGCGGCGTCGGCGGAGTGACAGGGGTCTCACCGGCCTGGAGTCGGCGGCAGTGGTGGCCGCGATATCGCCGCCCTAACTCACCGCGCGCCCTTATTCCAGCCCGCTAGGTTGCTGTGAAAGCGAAGCAGCGGCTGCCGCCCGGAAACAAGTAGCCTCACTCAAGTAACAGCGAGAAACGCCTCACAGACTGCGGCCTGGCAAAAAAAAAAAAAGATCTGACTTGAGCGACGGCAATCGGCTTTCCCTTGGCCGATTCTGGACCCTGTAACGCCAGGAAAGGCCTCCGTTTTTCAGTTCCTGCGCCCTCCGTAGCCGTGCTCAGTGGACGAGCGCCAGGGCCTTCGTCCTCCCCTCAGGCGTCGGGGCTTGGCCCCAGGCTCCATCTTCGTCTCCCAGGATGGCGAGCAGCAGCGGCTCCAAGGCCGAATTCATTGTCGGAGGGAAATATAAACTGGTGCGGAAGATCGGGTCTGGCTCCTTCGGGGACATTTACCTGGCGATTAACATCACCAACGGCGAGGTAACCATCCGGGGTAGGGTCCGGGGTAGCGCGTCGCCTTCCTCGCCCCCTCCCAGCCCCCGAGCTGCTCGGCCTCTTCCCACCGAGCGCACGCACCGGGGCGGCCAGAGCCATCCTCCCCCGCTCTCCTTCCCTAAAAGGCAAAGATCCCGGCGGGAAGGTTGAGTCAGCTGTGAAGTTTCCCAGCTTGTTAAAAATGTCTCTCTGATGTCCTTTGGTCAAAGAGAAAAAATGTTTAAACCGTTAAGGCGAGAGGGGCGAAACTCCGCGATGCCTGTGTTTTTCTTTATATTTAATCCTGCTGGGGTTCTTATTCCAATTTGGACAGTTTCCGATCGCCTAGGTCCCCCCAGATGTCGCCTTACGTTTCTGGATGAATCGTTTCCCTTCATTTAGATTTAGAGGACGTGTGGATTTCGTCACTACCCCCTGAAGAGGCCTTTGGGGCTGGCTGCCTTGCTTCTGTAATTACAACGAGAGCTTTCTCTTCCCAGCCCTCCACTCCCTCCTTGTAGTCACAACTTGGAGCTTTGCTACCGACCCCTCTCCTTCCCCAAGTGACATTGAATCTGTAGGGATGTTGATGCCATCATCCCCTCTTTACCCTGCAGGAAGTGGCAGTGAAGCTAGAGTCTCAGAAGGCCAGGCATCCCCAGTTGCTGTACGAGAGCAAACTCTATAAGATTCTTCAAGGTGGGGTCGGCATCCCCCACATAAGGTAAGGACGCGCTCGCACGTAGGTGGCCGTGGGAGGCAGGAATGGGGAAATGGGGACCAGCGAGATCCGGGTCCTGATATCGAGTTACTGTACTTTGCTTCCCTACGGCCGGTGGTTTTCTGTCAACCATTAGTCATCCTAATCACTGGGTAAATTTGAGTTTCCAACTTAGTTGAAAATTTCAGCGTGTTACATTCCGGTCTTCAGCTCGCGGTGTCTTTCCTCTCCCTGAGGCTTTGGTTCGCAGCTGAGTGTGCAGGTCATTTTCGATCCCTACGCGGAAGAGTTGGCTGCTGCTCTCTTCACGGCGGCACCCCTGATGTTCTTAGGTTTGTCCAGAGAAGTGGATTTAAAGGTGCCCGAATGACCGGGCTCAGCCAGTTCGGGTTGCTATTGGAGCTGGCTTGGGAAATGGCTGCTCTTTTGTTGTGTTTTTGTTCCAACATGTCTTCCTCCTCCGCTTAGAAAATGGCGGAACGACGTGACTCAGTCCCATATTCCTGCCCTTTTCTCAGCTACAAATTATGTGTCCTTGAGTCTTCCTTTAGCAGCCCTGAGTGGATTAACCTTTTAGAAAACCAAGAATAAAGCTTCAGCAGCCGGTGGGGTTCAAGGAAGGAGATGACAGTTACGTTTGTGATCTCTGCACCAGATGCAACACGAAATTGTTAAAAGTCCTTCCCATTTCTCTCAAAGGTGATAATTACCCCTTTCTTGAACAGTGATGCTTGGTAATATTAATTTGTACTAAGTCTTAATGGGTAATGAATGGCAAAGGCCGTTTGAGCAGCACCATCTATGTTGAAATGTACTCAGGCCAGTTGTTTTACAAGAAAGCGCCACTTAAACACAGTTTAATAAGTAATTGTAACCTGTTGAGTTGTTTTATCCGCAAAACTTCACATCAGGGAAATTGTGGCATTTTGGGGAATTGCATGTTGGTGAGTGCAAATAGAAACGTAGTCACGATGAAAGGTGATCAGATAAAAAGATACTGTTTCCTTGCAAATGGTTAAACTGAACAAGATTTGGTGGCACATGCCTACAATCCTAGCATTTGGGAGACTGAGACAGGAGGATTGCTGCGAGTTCGAGGCCAGCCTGAACTATACAGAGTGAGACCCTGCCTTAAAAAAAAAAATCAAACGGTTAAACTATTTTGAGTAATTTTTTTGATTTAAGATTGAAGAACCTCTTTCCCAGGATAGTCTAAAATGTATCTTAAAACCTAACCATTTTCCAGCAATATTCAAAAGCAACATTTACAAAAAGATATAGAATGGTTAAGAATTAAGCAGAATGATATTGTATCCTCTTCTATTTCTGTTTTTCACATTCCGAATTAAGTATTGTATTACCTGCCATAATTCTGAAGTGGAAACAAGCAAAATGACAGTGTACTTTAAAATTTTTTAATAAACATTTGTAATGGAGAAATTGGATAATAAAGTGTACTACTGATTATAAATGATAATTTGGAAAAGTCCAAATTTATCTTAGATGCAGCAAAGATTAATTTGAGATGGCCCAGATTTGAGCTTTTAATGATTCCCATCCTTAAAAAAACTTACTGTGTAGGGAAACAAGCACCCCCCACCACCATTTGCTTTTTCATCACTGTAGTTTTTCCTAGAATTTCTTACAAATAGAATCATACGTATAATATGAAGTCATTTGTATGTGGCACCTTTCATAATGCTTTTGAGATTCATCTATGTTGGGAGATTTTATAAATTTCACACATTAAGTTGGATTTAATGTGTGAGATTTAATGTATTTGATATAATTTTCAAAAAAGCATTGAACAGGGCCAGGGATTTAGCTCAGTGGTTCCACCACCTGCCTCGCAAGCTCAAGGACCCAAGTTCAATCCCCTGGTTGCAGGGTTGGGGGCGGGGAGGAAGCATTGCCCATCTGGCATTTTCAGGGCTAACCCCATGTTAAGAGCATCCTCTTTTATCTGGTAGCTTTTATTTCAGGACAACACCAATACAGACCAGTGAGGGCAATAATATACTAAAAAAGCACACAAATGAAATTGATTTGCAAGCAGACTAATAGGTGCTTATTATAAGATGGTGAGTGCAGAGAGAGTTATGGTAATTATAAACTTTATAAACTCTCTGTGGGTGGGGCTAAATAGATTAACCTGGCTTTCAGTTTAAGGCTTGTTTGGGAGAGGAGATGGGACTTCAGGATCTGGCTCTGAGGAACAAAGCTTGGTGAACTGGTTTGGGAGGACATCCAAGAATAGTGTGTGGCTTCTGGGAGTAGTCTCTAAGGATGTAATTGGATAAGGGTGGGGAAAGCATGCTATTACTTCAGGAATAGTAGGGACCAGGTACATAGAAATAAAGGTGGTTCATTTCTTTTAAAATGAAGTGTGAATGGACAGTTTTCAAGAAAGATTTACTTGAAATTATCTGAATGCCAAACTCTTCCTAGCTTCTTACTATATGTAGAATAGACTACCAAGTAAATATTTATTAATGTTGAATTAAGTTGGCTGTTTAGGTTTAACTAAACAGGCAGACTGCATTACCCAGTTTTAGGAGTATTAACACTAATTTCAAAAAAAACCCAACCCACTAATTTCAAAAATGTACGTTTTTTGCCACATTTACCTCTTACACTCCACCACCGCACTCACACATACACACTCTGTTTATAGGATTTTTAAGGTACTGTACTTTGGGATATCCTAAAACAAGGGTTCAGTAATACCTGGCCTACATAGCTGACTTGTCTATTCAGGTTCTTCCTGTGTAATTTGAGGTACCTATTATTAGGCAGAAGCCTAGTATCCAGTGTGAAAGCAATGGTGGCATCCAGTGTCTTGGTATTTTAAGGAACTAAATCCTGGCACCTTATGAATTGTCATCTGGAAGCTCACTTAAAATTACTGTGTCAGGGCCGGGGATTTAGCTCAGTGGTTCTGCTGCCTGCCTGGGAAGCGCAAGGTCCCGAGCGAGGTTGATCCCCGGAACCAAAAAAATTACTGTTTCTGTTACAACTCTTTTTCTTTTTTTTCTGTAACACTGAATTGAATTCACATGTTTTTTAAAGAAACAATTATGGTAAAAAGTTTATCTAGGCAGTTAGGTGTTAGGATTGAACTCAAGATCTGCTAAGTATTACTAGTGATCTAGACTCAGTCTCTTAGCTACGTTGAACCTGTAGTTTCTTCATCTATAAAATAAAAAGGTACTGATTTAATGATTTCCTAATTTTGTTGAGATAGTGACTAGAAAACGGGGCAGTTTGTTTTGTTTTTTTGAGACAGGGCTTGTTATGTAGATCGACCTTGAACTCATGATCCTTCTGCCTCAACCTCCTAAGTGCTGGAATTGGATTGCAGGTGCATCCTCACATGTGGCCTTAACCATGTTTTTTGTCCTTTCCCTAATGAATGTCAGATATTCCATAAGTTAACTAATAAAGTACTAGTTAATCCTTAATCTTCACTGTTAAGAGCAGTTTAAATTGTCTTTTTAGCACTGAACATCCCACAGATAAGATTATAATACTGTTACCAGAGAACAAAAACTGTTGAATTCATTGAAATATGAATTCAGTGTTACTGAGGACTAGATGCATAAGAAATGTTATTTTTGACTCAAAGCATAACTGACTTCATGATGTACTAGAGATGCTTTGTATTATTATCTTATAGAATAAGAAGTAGCATTTTTTTGAGCTGGACAAAACCTGAGCGATGTATGTAGCCCAATTTCTCCTCATCACCGTACATTACAAATTAGACTCTTGAGTCCCAAAGGTATTACTAGAGTTCCCTCTAAACTACCAGTTCTTCTGAGAGCCATTATTAATTTTTAAGTCAGAGTCACATCCTGCCTCTTCACATATGCCACACCTTTTCATTTGGTGCTGAGAGAGGCATATTTTCTTTATGCTGTGGCACATAGACTCATATGGAGAAGCTGAAAAGCTCTTACATAGATGTAAGTAACCTAGGCCAGGGATGTAGCTCAGCAGTAAAGTGCTTGCCTGCCATACAGGAGGCCCTAGGATCCATCCTCAGGACTGCAAAATAAACTAAATCAAAAGCCAAATGGGAGTGACATATTAATTTGAATTGTTTAACTAGATGTTTATGATTTAGGGTATACTTCTCCCTTCTGAATCCTTTTTGGATTGTAGGATAGCTTTTGTTGGAAATTATTAATTTGTATCTTATTTGTAATAAATGGCTTGTGAACCTATGTAAAGTGTATGGGTTTTTACTTCCTTGGTTTCAGTCATTATTAGAACTAAATCATTTTGTTTCAAAGTATGTTTAAGTGGTACCTGAAGAATTAAGATTTTCTCATGAGTTGTCAGTATTCAGAAAGGATGTTTAATATCCAGAAATCTGATTCCCAGCACCATGTACACACACACAAAACCAGGCTAGGTTGTGACTCAGTAGTGGAACACATACTTAGTGTGTGGGATTCATGGGTTCCGTTCTCAGCAACCCTCCCAGCCCCCGGCTCTAAAAACAAAACTAGAATTTGAAGCAAATGCTACAAATTGAGTCTTTAAAGTCAATTCTTGATCAGGGTGTCATGGTGCCCACCTGAGTTTGAGGCCAGCCTGGGCAACTTAGCAAGACCCTGTCTGAATAAAAATAGAGAAAATGAGCTAGTGGTGTAGCTCAGTGCTCCTTGAGTTCTCCAGTACTGCAAAATAAATCAGTCTGTGAATTTAAGAAACATTTTTCTGGGGCTATATAAATACTTCATAGCTTTTAATGAATGAACACCTGATATAAAATTATGCCCTTTTCTGTTCCTGTTCCTATCACAGTCTCAGGTGGCTCTTAACAATTTTGGATGACCAATATTAACAGATGCTGGTCTAATGGAATTTTTTAAAAATTAAAGTGTAATTTACATGCAGTGAAATTTATTGATTTTAATGTGTGACTGATCAGTTTTGACAAATGCATACACTGGTATGACCCACGGCTCTGTTGACATAAGGAATAATTTCTCTAT